GATACCTCAGTTGAGATCAACTTACCCAGTGATCAACAGTGAGAAAGATACACATGCACCATCTTATGGTGGAGTGGCCCATCACCTAGAGACTGAATAGGCTTCAAGGTTGATGCCAATTTGAAAGCTGGGCACTGTAAAAATGGGTTGAGCCGATGAGTGGAATCAGAATTCAGCCATAGTATCGGCGAAAGTTCATTTTCTTTCTTTCATATTAGCCGAAAAAATGGGGATATTTTTAGGTGGCCACCCCGAAAAGAGGCTTGAGTGAATGACACAAGTCGAATCAGACCCAATACATAGTTTCAAATAATAAAAATCTATAATTGAAGTTTTCTTGTTTAAATTTTCTTTACAATAAAAACTTAGCCCTTTTTTTTATGAGAATTGAATGTTTTTAAGTTTACATAATGGCCAATTATAAATTTTATTTTACTGTATTTTTTTAGTTGTTTTGATTTGGAAAGTTTGTAGGTTTTTGCTCTGTAATTTGTATGCAGGGCCGTTTTGGCAGTCATTTCTCTTGAAGGTAGTGGAACTGGGGTCATCTGTAATTTTGCCACGTGTCACGTATTTGCTGAATCTTGTAATGTAGAAGAGGAATCTTGGTCTCGCCTACTTTACTCGGATCCGTTCAATGCATTTGTCGTATAATTTCTCAAAACACATTTAGTACTGTAAAAAACAAATTAACATATTTTGGATTAGCGTTCTGAAAACTCTGGGAGTCGGACTCAAATTTCCTGAACACCAGCAGCTGCCAAATCCGAAATTGAAACTATGGTAACTGGTCGAGTTTCTCCGGTTCTCAGAGTTTCATTGTAGCTCTTTTGGGAGTCCTCCGGACTCGGCCATGTCAAGTTTTCTGATTTGCATTTAGGACCGCAGTGAGTCCCGACCTGAATCCGAAACATTGCTTCAAGTTTCCAAAAAAAAAAAAAATCTGGGATGAAATTATAATATGGGTTTCGATGAATTGCAGGAAATTGCATGTAGATATATGTCTGATTTTGGATAATTTATTAATAATGAGCAATGCTATGCTTGATTTTTCAGGATTTGGAAGGGGGGTAGGCTAAATTTGAAAATGGAGGTAAGAAGTCCAGTAGAAGATGAATTCTCAAAGCTGCATCCATGCTTACCTCTAAGCACAAGGATTTGCATAGTAGGGGCTGGACCCAGTGGCCTATCTGCTGCCTATGCCTTGGCCAATATCGGCTACGAGGATATAACTGTGTACGAGAAGTACCACACAGTCGGAGGCATGTGTGAATCAGTGGACATCGAAGGTAAGAGAGAGAGAGAAATAGATAGAGAGATCTTCCCTGTATTGTTCCAATTTTATCAAATGTTTCCGAGAGAGGGCTCTTAGACGCCTGTGAGAAGGAGAGAGAAATCCTTTAGATGTGTGCGAGAGAGAGGGAGACATACAGAGATCCCTTATTGAGTGAGAGAGAGGGAGAGAGAGATTCATTAATGGAGGATTGGCAACTTTGCTTAGAGATTAGGGTAAAAGGCAACTTAGCCAACTATAATGGTAGTTAACTAAGCAGAGTTATGTTGATTTTGTGTTATGGGATCAATAATTCCTGTATCTATTACAGGAAGGATATACGATTTAGGAGGCCAAGTGTTAGCCATGAACAGTGCACCGGTTCTCTCTAATTTAGCAAAGGAGTTCGGCTGTGAATTCGAAGAAATGGATTCCCATAAATTGGCACTAATCGATGACACTACGGGACACTACGAGGACCTAAAAGTTGCTGAGGATTATGTGTCCATCATCTCTCTAACCTTGAAACTTCAGGTATTCTTCATTTCTCTATTTTTATCCAAGGCTCTTTATCTGCCCCCACCCAACAAAAAACAAACAAACAAAAAAAATCTCTCTCTCTCTCTTTGAAAGGATCAAATGTTTCTTTTCACTTACCGTTGAAGTATTCAATCTACAGTATTAGTAGAAGTCTCTCTCTCACTCCAAGAAAAATCATTCTACAGTATTAGTAGAAGTCTGTCTCTATACACGAAAATGACTTCATTAGCCCTGAGCAATAGGTGTACTGCAAATCTGGTCTCTTATTAGATGTACTGCAAATCCGGTCTCTGATTACCTCATTCCGTCCTTAACTTAAACACAAGAGTAAGGATTTTTAGTCCTCATTAATCTCCTCCACCATATCGTGTTTGTTCTGCATTTTCGAGTGTTATACAAAACCCGAAAGTTCAAGCCCGATTAATACTGTACCTTAAACTCTCATTAATAATTATGGTAGGCGCATCCTTCCTCTCGTTATCCAAAAAGCGTTATTTACTGTGTATAAAAAAGAAGAAAAAGAATAATATTAAAAAGACTAGCCCTCCATTATTAAGTAGTACTCCAGAAAAGGCTATCTTTGCATGCTCCAGAAAAAACTTGGGCCTTGAGAGTTGTGATCTAAGGAGTCAGAAACACATCTCTCATTGCCGTCAGGACGGACATTGAGAATTTCACAACATTCAACATTAAATTCAATCGGACACATACAAGACCACACTCTCTTACCTTAAGGAACTGCCTTACAGTCCTATCTTATCTTCATAAAACCCTAACCATCCTAATCTACGTAGTACATAAAACAATGGATGATTGGTAGAGATACACCTGCGGAAGCATAGTATAAACATACTCTCCCGCAAAATACTTTTGAAAATATGGAATCCATTTTTGAATAGGAACGAGTATTTTCCAAAAAGAAAATAAAATTTTTGGGTTAAGGGACTCGATCAATCCTGGCAAGCACAAAATATAGAGAGCCTTTTTTTTTTTTTAAAAAAAAAAAAACATCTACGAGTACTTTGGCAATGGGAGATTTGAAAAAGGGTGCGGTTTACATAGAGCCTAGGCTCTAAACAATCAAATTAGAGCCTACCTTCAAATAGTGTTGAGAACTACGGTTTCAATACTGAAAATCTTTGTGATAGCATTAAAATATATTTTTATATTTATTTATGAAGTTTAAAGCTTCAAAAATAGTGTAGATCGACAGATCTATGAAAACTTGAAAATTTACGGTTAAAAAATATGCTACAAAATACACTATTTTCAAATTTTGAAATCTATTTTTTTTCTCATGTCCATGTATATTGATGTCGAGATAATCAATTTGAAGATATTTACGCATCAAAACAACCTCTTCTAGTGAAATTTTTGAGGTAGACTCAAATTTGATTATTTAGAGCCTTGGCTCTATATAAACTTTTCCCTTTGAAAAAACAGTACTTGAATTTTGGGAATTTAAGAAGGAAAAGTTTTATATGCATCGGGATGCATTTCTATATTTGCTTACCCAGAGGCGTAAGTAATCCATCCCGAAGATAGACGTAAATGGGGTTCCTTAAAAAATTATCATTTTAGTTGTTTAAAATTTACTTTGTTTTTTATATATTTATGAGATTACATGTTCCTCAGTAATTAGGGCCAAAATTAATTTTAAAAATGGATTTTTAAGAGGGGGTGCATTTCTAAATATGAGTCTAGGGACTCATAGAAACAATGTCCATCTAAAAATAATCGGTATTTTGAGAGCACATATTTAAATTTTAAACTCAGATTTGGAGTGTGCTTACTTCTCATAATCAACTGTGTAAAATAAAGAATATTTACCTTTAAAAAATAAAATTACTAACAACACTTGAATCTTGTATTACCCTTTAAAAAAATAAAATTACTAACAACACTTGAATCTTGTAGGGATTTATTTTTGGGTGCGGTTTGTATAGAGCCTAGGCTCTAAACAATCAAATTAGAGCTTACCTTTAAATAGTATCGAGACATGTGGTTTAACACTGAAAATCTATGTGATAGCCTTAAAATATATTTTGATCTTTATTTATAAAATTTAAAAACTTCAAAAATAGTGTAGATCAACAGATCTATGAAAACTTAAAAATTTTGAAAATTGACGGTAAAAAATACATTACAAAATATATTATTTCCAAAACTTGAAATCAATTTTTTTCTCTTGTCCATGCATCTTGATGCCGAGATGATCAATTTGAGTATTTTTTAACATCAAAACAATCTCGTCTAGTGAAATTTTTGAGGTATGCTCTAATGTGATTGTTTAGAGCCTCGGCTCTATATAAACTTTTCTCTTTTAGATTCGGAAAATAAAGTGGAGTCTTTGTAAATTTCCTTATCATTTCAAATTCATCGTGCTCTCAAAGTGCAGTAGTCAATGGTCCCAAGCCTAACTCCACAACCATGCCAGCCCAAAAATGTCTTGAGCCTAGTCAGACTTAGGCCTCAATGATATTTTCCGACCACCCCAAAAATCAGGTTGGGCTCGGATGTGGTCTCTTTGTTAAAACAAAACTTCAACTCCAATGTGGTCTATTTTGACCCCTAGCCCACGCCTAGCGTTTTGTGTAGTATTATCAAGATTTGATTGGACCTTGAGCTAATTTAATCAAATATGATTAAATTCGTTGGATCAAATTTTTTAAAAATAAAAAAATAAAAAAAATATTTTAAAAGATAAATATAATAAAAAATTACTTACCTTTATTTAACCAATTGAATAGGTAATGAACCTTTCAAAACTAGTCAAACATTAATTATGTTTTCTACCAAATCCAATTTTTGCTGGGATATAAGAAATGTACCAGTAGGGTTGAGCATCCGACCATCAGGTCGAGTCTCTATAACCATATTTTTAAATTGTTTTGCTTTGGTTTTTCTTGGATCATTTCTCTAAGACTATTTATTTTTTAGAATTGTATACTAGAAAACTATTCAAGTTTAGTTTAAGGAGATCATAATATTTGATAGAACTCAATAGTTTAAAATATTATTACAAAGTTCGAAAAAATTTATTTCAGATTTTTATAAATTCAACGGGAGAACCCCCACCACTCAACTTCACATCTAATGGGGAAGTAGCCTCTTAGTGCGAAAATAGATAGTCTTATCATGTACTCAAATTTTATCTTGGATCTTACGACTCACTCTTTAACTAAGGGTGGCAATAGATCCGGACCTGAGCCAAGTCAAGGCATAGGTCCAAAAATTGAACCCGATAGGTCGGTTTGGGTCCAACCTTGGATCGCAACATTACTCCGGTCCGTCCTGACCCGTTGCCAACCCGTCTTTAGCTGTATGCTCCCTCTCTGGTTGATTTGCGCGTGCTCTCTCTCTCTCTCTCTCTATTCTTTGTTCTCTCTCTTTAACTGCTTCCACGTCCAGGACGAAGCCAAGGCCTCTGTCAAACTCGGCGTCCACGCAGTGAGCAACCTCGCACCAGACCCAATCCTCGACTTTCTCTCTCTACATGGCCTCCACTCCGTCCCTAAATCCGTCGCCTATGGCTACACAGCCTCTGGCTATGGCTTCACTCAAGACATGCCCTACGCTTACCTCCACGAATTCACCCGAACTTCCATGGCTGGAAAGATCAGGCGCTTTAATGGAGGTTACATGAGCCTCTGGCAAAAGCTCTCTACTTCGCTCCCTTACCGAGTTCTCTGCAACTCTGAGGTCGTGGGGATCGAGAGGCTGGACGACAAAGTCAGGGTCAGGGTTTTGTTCAGGGGAGATGAAGAGGAGTTGGAGAAGATGATGGAGTTTGATAAGATTATAGTGTCTGGTGCTTTCCCCTTCAGATATGGGAGGACTTACAGAGCTCCTGTTCCTGCAACTTCTACAGGTGAATTGAGTTGAATTCGTATTTCATAGAGCATGCAATTGTAGGGTTATGGTTCTTCCTGTTCTTCAACTTTCCATGTGAATGGAATTTATAGAACTTGAAGTTCCAACTTTCCATGAGAATGGAGTTTATAGAATTTGAAAATTCTAGGGTTTTGCTTCTATTGGCTGATTGTCTCTGCAAACTTCCTATGCTAATGGAATTTAAAGAATCTGAAATTCTAGATTTTTGTCTCTATTCTCTGCAAGTTACCCATTTGAATGGAGTTGGCACAGCTTGAAGTTCTGGAGTTTTGAACTTTTGATTATGGTTTGCCTTCTCTTTTTTTACTTTGCACTCAAAACTGCTTCCTTTTCTATTATTAGCGGTAGCAAGTTGCTTCTGACTTTCTCTTTTGTGAACCTGGTTGAGTGTTTCGGTATTGAAACCTTATTGCTCTTCATCTGTTTTACCCCAAAGTTATAGATTAAGTACAGCATTTTAGTTCTGAAAATATGGGGTTCTGACAGGCAATCAATGAATAGAAAGCAATAAACCCTAAATTGATTTTTCTTTTAATCCATTTGATTCGGGTTCTTGAGTAGAGGTGTCAAGGCTCTGCTTCTTAGTTCACTGCAAATCTTCATTAAAGCTAGGTTTTTCTTTCATCTTGTTGTTCTTGCTGATCATCTTCTGCTTTTCTCTGCAAAATTCTTTATCAGGCTTATGATTTAATTGCTTTTGCACTCAACAGTGATGGAACCAGAGGTAATGGATCTGAACGATCTTGAGAGGGAGCTCTTCTGCAAAGTGCACACCATAGATTACTACACGACTGTTCTCAAGATAAAAGGGTTTGAACACATACCGGCTGGTTTCTACTATTTTGGGAAATTCATGGAACACCCTGCAACTATTGGTAACCCAGTGGCTATGCAGAAGTTTTATGGGGACACTGATATCTTTCTTTTCTGGTCTTATGGGAATTCAACAAATGTGAAAGGGGAATCGGTTTTGAAGCTATCAATTGATGTGGTGAAATCTATGGGAGGAGAAGTTCAGAGGGTGGTTTTGCAGAGAAGATTCAAGTATTTTCCTCATGTTACCAGTGAAGGTTAGCACACAAAACAATGTGAAATGCCTGTGTGTGTATGTAGAGAGAGAGAGAGAGAGAGAGAGAGAGAGAGAGAGAAGAACATGTAGAATCGCCTGTGTGTGTGTGGAGAGAGAGAGAGAGAGAGAGAGAGAGAGAGAGTCTTTCCAGCAATCAAGTTCGTCAATTTTTTTGACTCTCAGTATTTGGGTATCATTCTTTTGAAGCCAGTGGCACAACAGCATTCTTTCCTTGTAAATGATGAATTCCACATTTTCTTGTGTATCCTCTTCTTTGGAGCTCTCTGGCTCTAAACTCTGGTTTTTATTGGATTCATTCAGAGATGAAGGATGGTTTCTATGATAAATGGGAGTCTGAGCTTCAAGGCTCCAGGAACACATACTATGTTTGCGGGCTCGGTGCCTTTGAGCTCACTGAGCGCAATGCTAGCTATGCAATGGCTCTGGTTCGTAGGCATTTTGCATCAGATGGCCCTTTTCCTCCTTTTCCATATGTTAAGGTAATTAGCCTCTTTTTTGCTCTTGTAACTATGGAGTTTTCAATGGAATTTAAACAGTACTTTTTAACGAGATTTCAGTTTAATTTTCTAAAAGTTTATGTATGTTAGTGAAATCTTTTCAGTCTCTTATTAACTAATGCTTGTGAATATGATTCTGCAGAGAATGCTCCCCGTGCATTCTGGTCATAGGTCCCAAAAGGTCAAAGAACTACCTGAATCTCCTGGTGTGGAATTCCCTGAGCTTCAATCCCTAGATGAGTACTTGGAGTTTTGGGGAACTCACATAATCTCAGAGACCAAAACCCTGTATACTTGGATTAACGAAGAAGGAGAGGTTACTAGCGAAAGAACATATGGGGATCTCCATAAGAATGCATCTATCATTGCCCATAAGCTTACGAGCACCAAACCAGTCATCAAACCAGGTGACCGAGTACTGCTCATACATGTCCCTGGCCTCGACTTTGTGGATGCTTTCTTTGGCTGCTTAAGAGCCAAAGTTTTACCGGTCCCTCTATTACCACCTGACCCACTACAAAGGGGTGGCCAAGCCCTTCCCAAGATTGAAAATGTTGCCAAATCTTGCGAAGCAGTTGCTATTTTATCAACAGCTTCTTATCATGCAGCAGTGAGGGCTGGGTCAGTGAGGAACCTACTTGTTTCTGGGAAGAATAAGTCTTCTGCTCGTTGGCCCCAACTTCCATGGCTTCACACTGACTCATGGCTCAAAAACTCGAGAAACAGTGGCTTGGAGGAGATTGAATGTTCATATTGTACCCCTAAACCTGATGACCTATGCTTTCTTCAGTTCACTTCGGGATCAACTGGAGATTCAAAGGGTGTTATGATCACCCATGGAGGCCTCATCCATAATGTGAAGCTTATGCGGAAGCGATATAAGAGTACCTCTAAAACTGTACTGGTTAGCTGGCTCCCTCAATACCATGATATGGGCTTGATCGGCGGCCTATTCACTGCTCTGGTTAGTGGTGGGTCTTCTATTCTCTTCTCCCCTTTGACATTTATAAGAAACCCACTTCTGTGGATTCATTGCATGAGCAAATATAGGGCAACACATAGTGCAGGGCCCAACTTTGCATTTGAGCTGGTGGTGAGGAGATTGGAAGCTGAGAAGGTTAGAGACAGAAGAAGTTTGGATCTTTCATCTTTGATCTTTTTAATGGTGGCTGCTGAACCAGTAAGGCAAAAGACTATCAAAAGGTTTATTGAATTAACAAGCCCATTGGGACTCTCAGAAGAGGTCATGGCTCCTGGTTATGGCCTAGCTGAGAACTGTGTGTTTGTGAGCTGTGCTTGGGGAGAAAAAGTACCTATCTATATTGACTGGCAAGGGAGAGTATGTTGTGGAAACATAAAACCAGAAGACCCAGATGTGGATATAAGGATTGTGGACCAAGAAACAGGTGGAGAGCTTCATGGAGATGGGAAAGAAGGTGAGATATGGGTCAGTAGCCCTAGTGCCGGAATTGGGTATTGGGGGAAACACGAATTGAGCCTGAAAACTTTTGGAAATGAGCTTGATGGTCACCCAGGAAAGAGTTTCACTAGAACTGGTGATCTTGGTAGGATTATTAGTGGAAAATTGTTTATCACTGGTAGGATAAAGGATTTGATTATAGTTTCAGGACGAAATGTATATTCTGCTGATGTGGAGAAAACTGTTGAGGCCTCATCGGAGCTCATACGCCCTGGTTGTTGTGCTGTGATTGGTGTACCAGAGGAGGTTTTATCAACCAAAGGAATTAAGGTTCCTGATGGGGCTGATCAAGTGGGTTTGGTGGTTATTGCAGAGGTGAGAGAAGGAAAACCAGTAAGCAAGGAACTTGTGAAACAAATTCAAACCAGAGTTGCAGAGGAGCATGGGGTTACTGTAGCTTCTGTAAAGTTGATCAAGCCTAGAACAATCTCTAAGACCACTTCTGGTAAAATCAAGAGATTTGAGTGCCTTAAGCAATTCACTGATGAGAGCCTGAGCTTAGTTGCTGACTCCAAGCCGCCTAAGAAGTTTCTGCTTCAATCTTTCACAACTGGTGCCAACTTCAATCTTCCACCTATGAGACAAGAACAAAGCTTTCTAGAACCTTTGAAACCTAGAAAGGAATCACAAAAGAGTAGGAGAGAAATCACGGAGTTCTTGATTGGACTTGTGGCTGAGCAGGCGAGTATCCCATTAGAGAAGATTTCAGAAACAGATAGCTTGGTTTCTTATGGAATCGATTCAATTGGTGTGGTGAGAGCTGCTCAAAAGCTTTCTGATTTTCTTGGAGTTCCAGTTGGGGCAATTGATATTTTCACTGCAAAATGCATTTCAGACCTTGCGAGCTTCTCTGAAAGCCTTATTTCTGAGGCAAACACAGCTAGTTGTCTAGTGAATTTGCCTGAATATGATGACAAACCAGTCTTTTTGGCAGTTGAGGTATCAAATGTCCACAGATTGGGTATTGGGTTTTTGCAATTTCTGGTCCTCATATATGTTGCTGCCATTTTAGTTCTACCTGCCTATCTCTCTTGCTCTATTTCCATGGAGATTTTGAACCGGTGGGTGTCAAGTTCTTCATGGGTTTATTATCCAGTTTCTGCCATGGCTTCACCTTTGATCTGGTTGCTATACATGTTCTTGACTTGCATATGCATATCGCTATTTGGTAATTCTTTTTTGAGGCCAAACGTTGCTTTGAACCAGGAGATCTCTATTTGGTCCAAGGAGTTTGTGGGGTGGTGGGCTATGTATAAGTTGCAAGAAATGGCAGGGAAAATAATGGCGACGCATTTGAGGGGGACTATATTTTTGAATTACTGGTTCAAGGTGTTGGGAGCAATTGTTGGCTCTGAAGTGGTGCTTGATAGTGTGGACATAACCGACCCTTTCATGGTTAGTATTGGAGATGGAGCAGTGGTGGCAGAGGGAGCCATGATTCAAGGACATGAGGTGAAGGGTGGTATGGTGAGATTTGGAGCGGTGAGGATTGGCCAAGGGGCAACTATCGGGCCTTATGCAATGATTAGGATGGGGTGCAATGTGAATTCTGGGTTTGATGTGCCAGCTTTGCAGAGGGCAGAGGGTGGAGCAATGGTGGTTCCTGGCAAGAAGGTATGCGCTTGTTCATATTGTGTGTGCCAATTTACTCTATGCTCTCTCTTTCTCTCATGCAATGGCCAGGATTCTCTCTTCCATTGGATTTGGTCTTCTCTCTCTCTCTCTCTCTCTCTCTCTCTCTCTCTCTCTCTCTCTCTCTCTCTCTCTCTCGTCGTCGTCGTCGTCTTCGTTACGTTTACGTTTACGTTTACGTTACGTTACGTTACGTTACGTTACGTTACGTTACGTTAACGTTAACGTTA